CTTTCCCTGGTCAAATTTAAATAATACATACATACAATTAAATAAAAAAAATTTTTTTTGAGATTTTTGCTATAGGGCATGTGTGCTTGTCAGAGAGACCAAAAGAGACAAAGAAACAGAGAGAGAAAAAATCACCCCCCAGGGGAGATGACCACACCTTCTCCTTCGTTCTCCTCTTGGGATTTTGGGCATGCATGCACATGTGTCCAGCATGAGTTTTAAGCCACCAGGTCTGGGACTTGAAACATGGTCAACTACTTGAGAGTCCAGTGACAAAAACTATTGTGCTATCTGCTTGTCCCAATAAATAATTGTAAATTCTTTACAAAAAAAAAAAAACAAAAACATGGATGGGAGGGTTGACTGCTCTTTTTCCCATTATGCTCGCCTCCTGAGAACCAGCATTTCGACACCAGCTACCTAGCCCTGTAAGCTCATCTCTCTCCCTCCCAGGCATCCAGCCGGCTATGTTTGCATTCCCATGTGCCACGCTTATCACTGTGATGCTGGCCTTCATCATGTATATGACCCTTCGTAACACCACTCAGCAAAAGGACATGGTGGAGGTGAGTATTCAGTAGGGTGGGGACTGGACCACTGGGTGTTACCTTGGGAGAATACTGGAGAGGCATGGGGACCAGGCCACGATGACTGGAGGAGTTCTTAATTTCAAAATGAGGCCCCGGGGCATGGGACAAATGTAACTAAGAGATATCTGCAGACTGGGCAGAATTGTTGAGTTGATAGCCCAGCTGACTTATCTCCTTCTATGCTTGCCTCTTACATACAAGTTCATGAAAAATCTCAAAAATTTTTACACCATTCTGGCGAGCGCACTCGCCCTATAGCAAAAACCTCTCAAAAAAAATTTTTTTTACACCATAATAAACTTATACATTTTAAAAAAAAGAATAATTTCTTTAATTAATTTATTCATTCATTTATCTTAATTTGACCAGAGAGAGAGAGGGGAAGTGAGAAAACAAGCCACCAGGTCTGGGATGCAAACCATGGTTGGTCATGTGGGAGTGTCCAGCTCCTTAACCACCATGCCACCTGCTGGCCCCCAAAAACTTATACTTTAATTCCATTTTCAATTAATTTTTCAAAGTACTCTCTTATGTACGATGTCATAAAGGTGTTTCTGTGCACCTTGCCACCAGACAGCTGAGCTCATAAGACCACCTGTCTGTGGCTCCCGGTGGGTGGGTGATTGACCCGTGGGATTTTGTTCACCATAGGTGGCTGATTTTGACTTTTCCCCCATGTCTGACAAGAACCCGGAGCCACCCTCTGGGGTCAGGTGCTGCTGCCAGATGTGCTGTGGGCCCTTCTTGCTGGAGACTCCATCTGAGTACCTGGAAATTGTCCGCGAGAGCCACGGACTGCTCCCGCCCCTCTACAAGTCTGTCAAAACTTACACTGTGTGAGCACTCTCCCCTCCACCCCTACCACCCATCTCAGTGTTAACTGACTGCTGACTTGGAGCTTAGGGCAGGGTGGTGTGCACCACTGAGCAGGAGGGCTTCATGTGTGTGGGGTCATTTACCCTGGCCGGCCGGCCACCTGTACAGTCTAGCTGCCCCTTTCAGTCACTCCTCTACCCCAGCTATCTGCCCATCTATATAGTTCAGCCACTGTTGTGAGTCTCTCTTGGGCCTCCCCTCTACCCTCTATCTTTGAAGAGGCTTCAAGAAGGATTCTGACACTTGGCGTGTTCCCTGTTCTCTCCCAGGTGGGCCTGGCTGCCCTTTACCTCTTCCCTCATATTGGCACACCTGCTGTCCAATGAGGGCAGCCTTTCTTTCCTTGGGCAGCCTTGTCTATGCCCCAGAGTGAGGAGGAAGGTCACAAGTGGTTAAGGATACATAATGAAAGGTTATATACACAGATGGACACTCTTGCAGAGATGGATGTGTACATGCGCATGCACACACATGCAGAAATACATACACACATGCCACATGGGCATCTCTGATGATTTGCTTTGTATTTGTAAAGTTGGTTGTTGAGAAGCAGCCTGAGTCAGAACTAAAATGAAATTGACCCTCTGGCCCCCAGCAGCTCCAGAGCCCAGCTCCTCCCTCTGTGTATTGTCTCTGCAGCTCCCTGTTATAGTAAGGCCACCCTATTTCCTGCCTGCTTGCTGGGAGCTGGGTGAGGGCAGGACTAACACTTTGTGAGTGTGGAGTACTTTATAAATGTCACCTTTTATTGAAAATCATACTTATCATACCATTGAAGAAAATACCTTGTATCAAAAAATGAAGTTGAGCCAGGAAGACTTGGGTTCCCTGTAATGGGGGGTGAGAAGTGGTGATCTTGCCCACTCAGCTGATCCCATGGGGACCTTGAGAAGAAGGGAGCAGGCTGATAGAACCTGAGTGAGAGAACCAGCCCACTCCCTCCCCTCTGATCTGAGTAGAGGGAGACACTTATTAGGCCCAGGTGCAAATGTCTGGAGCAGCCTGAGCCTATCTGTGGAGGGAAGGGCTGGGCTGGGGGCCAGCTCTGTTACTGTAATCATTTGCTCTCAGACTTCGTGATAAAAACAGCCTTTACACAGGAGTACAGCTCATTCTCATGAAATACTGCCATTATTGCTGAATAAAGCTTGTGTGCTCTGAATATAGCCAAGCATGAATGGTGTGGCCAGAGTCTTTTTTACATGTGGATGTTTGGGCCTTGCAAACAGAAATAATAGTTCTCAGCCATAGCAGGACATGCCCGTTGTGTTCTGTGGTGAAAGGAAGGGAGTGGAGCCAATTAGGGTTCCTAGAAGTAGGGCTAGGTGCACTCCAGGTAATTTGGGCATGCAGCACAGCCTGAGACCCCAGGGAGACTCTAGAGTCCAAGCAGGACATAGGCCACAACATTGTTCCCACCTGGGAACTCATGGGAAATGCAGACCATCGGCCCCAGCTCACAACTGAATCTTCTCTGGAGAAGGGCAGGCCCATTTCCCCGACCTTTGGGGGTTCTGTGCATGATCGAGTTTGAGGACCTCTGGTCCTAGCAGGACTTCTCAAACTTTGATGTCAGAGAGGATGGGTAGCAATCTGGTTAAATGACATCTTCATTTGGGAAGGTTGACACAAGGACTGGGATTCTGCATTTTTAACAGGTTTCTAGGTGCTGCTGATCTTGCTGTTACAAGGATCACATTTTGAGTCACAAAGATCTGAGTCTAGATCCTTCCTAAGCTTTTTTCCTTTGAGAGGTTTGAGGCTTTGTCAGTTGTGTCTGCTTTCCTGCCAGTCCCTCCATCCCACCTACCCAGAAGGTGTATTCCAATGCTTCTAAGAGCTCAGCAGTTGGGAGTGGACCTTGAGAAATGGGGACTGCCATTTCTGTGGCACCCCATTTCTGTGCCACTTTAAAAAATTTTAAGACTTTTGCCATAGGCTGCATGCTCTTGCCAGAGACAGAGGAAAGTAAGAAAGCCCCTGGGGAGATGGCCACTCTGCAATCTCTCCTCCTCCATTTTCCTTTTGGGATTTTTGCTCACATGCACACATGCCTGGCATGATTTTCAAGTAGCTAGGTGCAGGACTCGAACCATGATTGATCATGTGAGAATCCAGAGCCTTAACCACTGTGCAACCTCCTTGCCCCACTGTACTACTTTTAAAAATTACTTATTTATCTACTATCTGTTGTGATTTTCAAGCTTCTGGGTCCAGGATTTGAACTGCAGTGGACCATGTGGGAATCCAGCACCCTAACCACCATGTAACCTGCTGGCCCCTCAGCGTACCAGTTTTTATAAGCCAAGTCCTTTAGAGAACTTTCTTGACTTCAGCATGGTTGGCACATGGAGCAGAAGCTTCATTTGTCCTCCATGCAGGGTCAGCTGTGTTAGCCTCTGGGACAGGAAGGAACCTGGGGGTTGCGGGGGAAGGAAGGAACCTGGACCCTGGGAAGTGCTTTCAGCAGAAGAGGTGCCCTTGGTTCTGCCTCTTCTTTTACTTGCCCAATAACTTTTCTGAGGCATCTCAAAATAATCGAATTGCTAATAATCTAATAATCAAAAGGTCAGACAGATTAGGTAATTTTGCCAAGGTCATGGAGCCAGGCTAGACTTTAGCTCTCCACTTCCACCCCCTACTCCAGTAGGAGAGCTGAAGTCAAGCCTGGCTCCATGACCTTGGCAAAATTACTGTATCTGTCTGACCTGCAGATTCTTCACATTACACAATGTATGAGACTGAACGAGTGCAACTCAACATCTGAAAGACAACTCAATTAAGAAATGGGCAAAGGACTTGAATAGACGTTTCTTTGAAGAAGATACACAACTAGCCAATAAGCACATGCCTTGGGTAATTGGTTAGAGGATCAAATGGTGATCTTAATAGATGAGGGCTAGGTGTCCTTCAGAACCACTCTTTACTGGAATGATACATGGCTCCCCTGTGCCCTGTATGTGTCTTTGGGGGAAACCAGGATAAGAAAAATCTAAACTCCACCCAGAGGAATTTGTAAGTGGTTATCCAGGAGGTACTTCTCTGCAAAAACCAGCTCATCAGGTGTTTATGTATAGAATTTTTTTTAAAAAAGGATTTTTCATATGGCATGTGCACTTGCCAGAGAGAGACAGAAAGAGACAGTGAGAGACACCGAGAGGGAGTGAGAAATCACCCCTCAGAGGGGATGGCCACACTACAATCTCTTCTCCATTCTCCTCCTGAGGTTTAGGGCACACACACACATGTACCTGGCATGAATTTCAAGCTGCCACGTCCAGAACTTGATCTGCAATTGGCCATGTGGGAGTCCAGCACCTTAACCATTACATCACCTGCTGGCCCTTTGTTTTGTTTTAAAAAAATTATTTATTTAATTGTATTTATTATTATTATTTTTTAACTTGTCTGGGAGGGAGGAGAGAGAGAGAGAGAGCAAGCTGCCAGGTCGACTCCAACCACAGTCAGTTATGTGGGAGTCCAGTGCCTTTACCGCTACATCGCTTGCCGACCCGTTTGTTTTTAATAGTTGTCAACCACACAAAAAGTTAGGTAGAGAGAATCATTTGAGTAAAACGCGGAAAGAAACAGGGCTGTAGAAGAAAGGGTCACTTGGCCAGCCAGCTGCAATACATTGAGTACGAAAATATTTGACTTGCAAAACTGTAACTACCTGGGCCCCTGGGGACAGTCTACTGGGCTTGCCCTGAGCAAGGAGACTCTTTCACGGTGTTCCTCAATTTACTATGCTGTCTGTGGTTGTTTGGGGGGAGTTGCAGAGGATTTCCAAAGCTGCAGCCTGAGCAGAGGCCTTATGGGAGCTTGTGTTTTCACTCCTCAGCCCCTAGTTACTGATTCATTGCAAGCGTGCTGCTGGATCCAAAATGGCCACATCTCATCCACTTATCCTTATAAGCAGGGTTATGTCCTCTGTCAGCCTCCCTTATACATGCCAGCCCTGAATGGCAAGAGGGGCTGGGACAGCTCTTCCCACCACCTTGGAGTTCCGGGAGGACCTGATTTATCACTGATGAGAGGCTATTGATTCCTATGACCATAGTGGAATCAGAAATGGAGTCAACTGATTTATTTTTGCTCGTGTCTGATCAGAAATGTATTAGGAAGCCTGGGAAAGGCTCAGTGGGGCCCCTCTTCACCCTGGACAAAACGATCTGTCTTAAAAGGCTTCAGAGGTTTCAACCTGATACTACTAAAGTGGGTTCCAAGGACATGTGAGCCAACACCCCTGAACTGGGTTGAACAGTTCAACCCTTCCCCAAATTCATGTCCTTGTAGACCCTGTGATGATGGCTGTGTATATGGAAATAGGGTCTTTGCAAAGATAATCAAGTTAAAACGAGACTACACTGGATGAAGGTGGGCCCCACCCAGTGACTGGTGCCCTTACAAGGAGAGAGGAATGTAAGTGGATGTAGACACTCATGCAGGGAAGCCATGGAACGATGGAGGCAGAGGTGAAAGTGATGCATCTCTGAGCCAAGGAATGTTGAGGACTGGCAGCGGCCACCAGAAGCTGGAGAGAAGCCTGGAGCAGATGCCCCCTCAGAAGAGTCTCCCTCCAGAAGGAAGTAGCCTTGTCCACACCTTCATTTCAGATTTCTATGCTGTGACAGACACATTTATGTTCTTTTAAGCCACCCAGTTTGGGATACTTTGCTATAGCAGCTACAGGAAACAAAGAATATTTCCCCATGTCAACTGTAGCCTGCCATCTCTTATATTCCATCATCACCCAACAGGAAATCCCCAAATTAGAGCCAGAATCCAACACGTCTCCTCCTTCTACTAGCCCCCACCCCGCCATGTCCTCGAGGTAGCTTCCAAGGTCCTGTACAACTGGTCTGTAACTTGGTAGCTCTCACTTCCTACTTATCCAGCCTTGCCCTGGCTGCCACTGTGCCTGGGATAGACACTTCCCTACTTTTTTTTTTTTTTTTTTTTTTT